TGGGGTGGCCTCGGCATCACGCTTGTAGTAGTAGTATGGGGTGGCTTCGGCATCACGCTTGTAGTAGTAGTATGGGGTAGCCTCGGCATCACGTTTGTAGTAGTAGTAGGGAGTGGCTTCGGCATCACGTTTGTAGTAGTAGTATGGGGTGGCCTCGGCATCACGTTTGTAGTAGTAGTAGGGGGTGGCTTCGGCGTCACGTTTGTAGTAGTAGTAGGGGGTGGCCTCGGCGTCACGCTTGTAGTAGTAGTAGGGGGTGGCCTCGGCGTCACGCTTGTAGTAGTAGTAGGGAGATGCTTCGGCATCACGTTTATAGTAGTAGTAGGGGGACGCTTCGGCATCACGTTTATAGTAGTAGTATGGCTCTAATTCGCAAAAAAAAAAAAAATTAGATGTTAACTGCAAACAATATATTTACAAAATTAAAATTTTCATATACCGGCAACGGCCAAGGCAACGAACAAAGCAACCAAGAGAACTGTAACTGATTTCATGATTAAATTTTATTTATTATTTTTTTATTTTCTTCTGCGAAGTGAGGAATCTTTGAAGAAATTCAGCGTGGGTTTATATAGGCACGAGTCTTTCGAAATCTTATAGCGATGTTGATATTCGTTTTCCCTAAAGCCATACAATTCACCGCCATAATGTCATGAAAGCCTCGTTTATTGTGGCATAATCTAACGTAATTTTATTATATTATATCTTCGCTAGTATTGCCTTCGATATAGTTATAATGTAACACAGCCCAACTTAAAATATAGTTTTTTGTTAAAATCTCTAAATAAACATTTATTTGTTTTGATTGGTGGCACAGAAGAAATGCGCACAAACCTACTTAACCACATGGCTGATTTAATACTGATTAGGCGATTTGGCGCATTCTAAGCGTAAACAAATTAAAGACACAACCAAAGCCGAAATTTCGCTTCGTATTATCTTGTGAACGACCGAATGCCTTTGTAAAGGCTTAGGCATAATTGGTATCTTCTAAACTCATAATATCAATATTATTCTTTCGATTGAATTTATTTCTTTGTAAAATACGAGGCTTTGAAAAATGTATTTTCTCGAACATACTGAATAATGTCTTAGGGAATATGAACCTCGAGCTCTATATAAACCCACTTCATCTTCCTCTGGATGATTCACTCAGTTCTCTGATTCTCTCGAAAAAATATCAACCCCTCTAACGAAAAATCTAATCCATAAAAATGAAATCTGCAATTCTTTTGGTTGCCTTGTTTGTTGCCTTGGCTGTTGCTGGTATATTAAAATTTTCGGTTTAATTAGAGAAATTTCATATAATATATTAATAATCGTTATTTCTTCTACGAAATAGAGCCATACTACTACTACAAACGTGATGCCGAAGCATCTCCCTACTACTACTACAAACGTGACGCCGAAGCATCCCCCTACTACTACTACAAGCGTGATGCCGAGGCCACCCCCTACTACTACTACAAGCGTGATGCCGAGGCCACCCCC